GATGCAGTGAGCTTTGATTGTGCCACTGTGCTCCAGCCTGGGCAACAGAGTTAGACCTTGTCTCAAAAACAAATGAATACATAAAATTGATATAACAGAAATGAGAAGGAATTATGGACTCTGGGTAAGGGAGGCTAATCTGGTAACAGGCCCACAATTGAGGCAGACGCTGTCGCCTCTGAAGAACCTGCAGAACTTTCTGAACATCCACAGGCCCAGTGCCACCCTGGACTTTCTGAATCAAAAGGCCTGGAGCAGGGGTACCCATATGCACCTGTATGGCTAAGATGGTCCACACGTGATTCTGATGCACAGCCACGGTTGTGAGGTAATTTGGATTAATGAATTAAGGAGGTAGTTTTTCGAAGCAACAAAAATAAGGGGAGGAGATACAGATGAACATTTATCTGTTTTAAATTAAGGAATTCACTTTTACTTAAGCATAAACAGGGCCAGGCACAGTAATTACAGACTCACGCCTGTAATCCCAGCACTTTAGGAGGCCCAGGTGGGTGGATCACTTGAGGTCAGGAGTTTGAGACCAGCCTGGCCATCATGGTGAAACTTCGTCTCCACTAAAAAATATAAAAGCCAAGTGTGGTGGCGTGTGCCTGTAATCCCAGCTACTCAAGGCTGAGGCAGAAGAATTGTTTCAACTTGGGAGATGGAGGTTGCAGTGAGCCGAGATTGAGCCACTGTACTCTAGCCTGGGTGACAGAGTGAGACTCTGCCTCAAAAAAAAAAACAAAAAAAAAAACAAAACAAACAAAAAAAAACCAACAACAACAAACAACAAAAAAGCATAAACAGGAGGAAGATCTGACTAAATTTTAAAACAACCACCACAATTTAAAAAAGCTTTATCAGAAACATAAAGAAAATAAAAAGGCAAATAATAAACTGGAAAAAATATTTGCTACATATTTGACCCAAACAATTAATTTTCTTAATAAATAAATAAAAAGTGCTTCAATTCAATAAGGAAAGCATAAGCATTCCAAAGGAAAACGGACAAAGTGTATGCATCTATATTTCAAAAAAATCAGTATAAATCATGGATAAATATAAGGAAAAGTTTCACCTCACTATGAAACAAAGAAATTCAAATTAAAACAAGGTACCACTTTGGCAAATATTTATAAATGATAATGCCTAGTATTGAGAGTGGGGAAAACAGGCACACTCATATGCCCCTGGGAGACTATAAATTGGTACAACTCTCTGGTGCGCAATTTAGTATTATGCTTCAAAAGTCTTTAAAATGTTCATTTTCTTTAAAATGCTTTAAAATGTTTCTTTAAAAGGCTTTAAAATGTTCAATAACTCCCATCACTTCTATAAATTTATGATGACATCTTTACAAAAGTTGACCTCTTCATAGCTAAACAAATGCACCTGGATTTACAGCATCTTTAGTAAGAGTGAAAAACTGTAAGTAAACTACATGTGTCCAGTAAATAAATGGTAACATATCCATATGACGGAACACCAGGCAGCAATTTAAAATAGATTTCAGAAAAGTTTAAGGATGTGTGGAAAGCCTTACACGATATTAAGTGGAAAAGCAAGTTAAAACATTAATATAAATATACACACTCATAGTTAAGAAAAAAGGCTAGTTAACACCTGGTGGTACTATGGGTAAATACAAATTTAATTATCCTCTTTATATTTTTCTTGATTTTTCAGATTTCTTCTCACAAACACAAATTAGTTTTTTTTTAATTTTATTGAGATAGGGTCTTGCTGTGTTGCCCAGGCTGGGGTATAGTGGTGCAATCACAGCTCACTGTAACCTCAAACTCCTGGGCTCAAGTCATCCTCCTGACTCAGCCTCTGGAGTAGCTGAGACTACAGGCATGTGCCACCATGCCTAATTTCTTTTAATTTTTGTAGAGATGGGGTTTTGCTATGTAGCCCAGGCTAGTCTTGAACTCCTGAGGTCAAGGATCCAAGCGATCCTCTTGCCTCAGCCTCCCAGTGCACTGAGTATCGGTGTGAGCCACTATGCCCAGCCACAAATTAGTTTTTTGTTTTTGTTTTTGTTTTTTTTCCATCTCACTCTGTCGCCCAGGCTGGAGTGCAGTGGCGCAATCTCAGCTCACTGCAACCTCTGCCTCCTGGGTTCAAGGGACTCTCCTACATCAGCCTCCCCAGTAGCTGGGATTACAGACGCCCACCACCACACCCGGCTAATTTTTGTATTTTTAGTAGAGATGGGGTCTCACCATGTTAGCCAAGCTGGTCTCAAACTCCTGACCTCAAATGATCCATCCGCCTTGGCCTCCCAAAGTACTGGGATTATAGGCGTGAGCCACTGCGCCTGGCCTGCAAGTTAATTTTATAGTCAGAAAAAATGATAATCATTTTTATCCTACAGCTAATAAGATAATGTCATGGAGTACCAAATCGAGAATAAGAAAACTCTGGAGGCCAGGAAATCATTAGTCTTTCAGGTATAAGGTTATGAAGACAAAGGAGAGGGTAATAAAAGTGGGAATTCAAAGGAAAACATTTTCTAAACTGGCACTACCCAGTATGCTAGACTTTAGTACTAGGCGGTTATTTATATTAGTTAAAGCTAAATAAAATGTAAAATTCAGTTCCTTAGTTCAACTAGCCACATTACAAGTGCTCCATGGCCACAGGTGGCTAGAGGCTACCATAACACACAGTATGGATTATAGGTTTCCATCACTGCGGAAAATTCCTTGGGACAGCGCTGCTCCCTGTATTCCACTTCAGGTCTGAGGGATCCAGCTTCCGGCTTGTCTCTTCAGCCTCATCCCTTGGTTCAGTTTCTCACATCCTTCATGCTCCAGCAACAAGCATGTATGCACCACGAGGACAGAGATCATATCTGTCTGGTTCTCCAAGTCTAGTTGGGGAGACATACTACCTGGGTAACTACACACACTGTTATGGGGACTTGAAGACAGGCGCACAGATTATTAACACAGCAAAGAGCTCAATCTGGGGTTCAAGGAAGACTTCCGAAGGAGAAGGTGTGGGCGTACACAGAGAGGAAAGGAAAGAAAATTCTAGTAGAGAAAAGAGTGTGATATGAATGAGGGCCCAGATGAGACACAGTGCAGCACAAGGGAGGAAGCACCAGCGGGTCAGACACTGACTCATACAACACACAGTTGATGTCCCATGGGCCAGGCCTGAGCCAGCTCTGGGCACCCAGCAGTGACCAGGACAGCTCTGTTCCCTGCCCCCGCGATGCTTACATGCCAGGCTCACCAGTACTGCTGGAGCGCCAAGGGTGAGGCAGGGAATGCCAACAACTGAGGATGGATGCTTTAAGGCCAAGTCAAGGGCCCCGCACCTCATCTTAAGCATCCTGGTTAGTTTGCTTTTATCCTAGCAATGGAACACTCTTATTGGCCTTAGTGCGGGTCGGAGTCCACATCCCTCTCTCTCTCTGTCCCCCACTCTGGTCCCTACCACTGCTGTGGGCAATGGGGAGCTCCTCAAGGGGTGTTGGCCGCGAAGGGCACAGTCACAGCTTTAGGGAGACCCCTCCCGCGGCCGGCTGGGGTGTGGATTTCAGAGGCGTCAGAACAGAGACGGGAAGTGTGGCTGAGAGGACGCTGGAGTCATCTCCAAGACCTGAGAAAATGGTAGGGCCAACTTGAGCGACGTCGAAGCAGGAGAATCCGTTCCAAATTCAGGGAATGCCAGGGAAGCTGAGGGAGGGCATGCGCCCGGGCGGCGGTCGTCCCGTGAGAGGCCCCGGGGGAAGAGCAGCCGAGGGGCGCCGGCGGCCCGGGCAGAGGCTGGCGTCGCGAGGGAGAGGGGCGCGGGGGCCGCGGGCGCCAGGGCGAGCCGGGGCGGGGAGGCAGCAGGTGTGCGGCTGCCGGGGCACGCGGGGCGCCGGAAGGAAGCCTCCAGTGGACAGAGGAGTGAGCTCCCGACCTTGCCCTTGAGCGTTTGCCGGAGGTGGGCAGGGCACGTTCTCCTCAGCCCATGCCCTGCCGAAGCAGCGGGCGTGCGGGGCCTGCCACCGGACCGACGCTTCTGGACGCCCGACACCCGTCCCCTCACCTCCCGCGCGACGGCCCGGCCCCTCCCACAGTCCACGGCCGCTCAGCCCGGGCTCCGCGCCCGGTCTCCTCAGAGCCTCCGCCGACCCTTCCCACGCCGCGGCCTCGCCCCGCTGTCCCTTCACATCGCTATCCCCCCACGTGGCCAGCGCCCCGCCCGGCCGCACCCCTCCCCGGTCGCAGTACCTTGGGCTCTCGAAGCTGCACCCCCTGCGCCGCAGCGCCGCCCTCTTCTGCCGCAGGAGCGCAGCGGCCACCCCGCCGGGCTCCGGCTCCATCGCCCCGGGCGGGGGCCGCGGGCTCGGGCGCACTCGGGTGGGCTCGGTCCTCGGCCGGCCGCTCGGCTCGCATGCCGCAGCCCACGCCCCGCCCCCCGCCCCTCGCTGGGCCCAGGCCCCGCCCCGGCCCCGCCCCGAACCACGGCCCAGCCCGCCTCGCGCCTCTCATCCTGGTTCAGGCCCCGCCCAAGCCCCGCCCCGAACCCCAGCCTGCCTGGACCCTCCGCGGGGCCCAAGCCCCGCCCCGCGATCACTCACCCTGGTCCTGGCCCCGCCCCACGATCGCTCACCCTGGTCCCGGCCCCGCCCCGCACCCGCTCAGCCTGTTACAGGCCCCGCCCCGCGCCCGCTCAGCCTGTTACAGGCCCCGCCCCGGCCCCGCTCTCAACTCCTGCTCTCCTTGCCCCGGGCCCTCAGCCCGGAGCAGGCCCCGCCCACTCCCAGCCCACGCCCCGCCCCGCGCTCCGGTAACGCCCCTCCCGCGCCAGCTCCGCCGGGTTCTTGCCGCCGGCTTTCGGCACCTCTGCGGGGCCCACAGGCCCAAAACGCCCATCCTATCCTCGACTGTCCCGTCCACGACCCCAACCCTCCTGCTGCTTGCCCCTCAGCACAGACCCTGGCCCCGCCCACCTACCACTGCACTACTGAGCTCGCGCAAGGCCCTCGCTCTTACCCCAAACCTCTGCTTTCTCGAGCGTCGACCCTTGGAGTTCGGCTCCTCATCGCCTCAGCACCTCCTGGCCCTTTCTATTGTAGCTCCGCCCCTAGGGCCCTCCTTTCCATGTCCCGCCCACAGGTATGGCTCCGCCCCCAGGAGCCCCGCCTTTTCCCTTCGAAGCTCCCACCGACTCGGTTCCCAGACCAGCTCCATCGCCTCCTCAGTTCTGCTCTGACAGGGCCCGCCACAGCCCCGCCCGGCCGTGAGGCCCCGCCCACACTCGGTGGCCCCGCCCAGCCACCTCCTCCTTCTGCGCCGTCGTCCAGCCTGCCCGCAGGCTCCGCGCGGGGTAGATGCCCACACCCGTGGCTAAAGCGGCGTTTCGCCGTCTGGTCTGCGTTGACTCCGGGATCCTGCCATCCATCAAGGGGGGAGGTACTGCTGTTTTCTAGTGGCCGTTTGTGGCGTCTGACGCCGTGAGGCTAAGGGGCTGGAGCTTTGCAGGATACCAGTTGTGGGTTCGCGTCTTGACTGTTAGTGTCTAACTGTGACAACCCCCAACCCCATCCTCACTTCCCTAAGTCACATGCATTCTTCTCAGGGCCCTTGAACACTGCACTGTGACTGAGGGCAGCGACCCCATCTGGGTAAAGCTGGGGCCACCGTGCCGTCTAAATCAGGAGGAGGTGGTAAACTAGGGCTACCTCGGCAAGCGGCAAGCGGGGCTTTGTCGTAGCTAGGGAGGTGTGGCTATGCTGGCCTGGAACTGGGATGGTGGAGCAGAGCCCGAGGACTGTGCTTGTGTGGGGGAACCTGTGCTTGGGGGACTGGCCACTGCAGCTTTGGAAGGCACTGGCTGGGAAACTGAGGCAGTCCAGGCCAGGGGATCACATCACCCCCTGGTACACACTTCCTCAATGACTTCCAGGTTCTTTCTTGGTAAGGTCTGAACTTTGTGAGAGAATGAAGGGGCTGCCCGGATAGCACTGAGAGAAAGATGTAGAGGAGGCCTTTTTATTTCTCCTTCCAGCCCCTCTAGAGATGCCCCTGGTCCTCCCCTCAGGTTTCCACGAGATAGCCCTTTTAAGACAGCCCTCTTTTTTCTCCAAGCGAGGTATAGTGGAGTTCTGGGCTTTTGCCTAACATCATGAAGTCCTCCCAACATACCTTTTCAGACTTAAAATCCCATTACTCCCGCAAAACCTGTACTCAATGAGATCGGGTTGCCTTTTTCCCAGCCTCACTCTGCTCCTTCTCATTTCTGTCTCCCTATTGCCCCCACCCTTCATGTGTTCTGCAACCTCTGAACTGAATCTCCAAATACCCACTGCCCTCTAAAGCATCCTACGTCTCCTGCCTCTCTCCCTGGAGTGCCTGTCCCTTCCTGAGGATGCTGCTCCTGCATGGTTTTGATGCTCTGGTTATGTCCTAGCTGAGTTTTGGGCTCCCCATGCCTCCTTTGTGTCTATCCGAAACAGCAACTGTTTGCTAAGTGAATGTGTGTGACTTTAATAAACTGAGCAGTATTCATTGGAAAACACATTTAATTTCAAAGTAAACAAAGATGTTGTACATTATTTAATTAGTGAAATAATTATTATCAATGTAACAAGCTGAAAAATACAGCAACTTGATACAAGACTGAGGTAACAAAATACTTCACCAAAAATCTAAAGAACCCCATGGAGGGCTGGTTGATGTTCAGTGGTTACTGCGGGTGAGACAATTCACAAGAATTAGAGAAAGTCCTTACACAACTGCATGCAGGGGTCTGCTGGAAAAAAAGACAGCCCAGGAGAGTGCAACAGATTTAACAGGAAACGAATTAAAATGTAGAAACTGATTTTCAACTTACTTCAAAGAGTACATAAGAAATTGAAAACTACTCTCTATGCAACATTTTGAATGCTAAGTGGAAAACCATGCATTTTGGCACGAAATTTATTAAAGATTATACCATACTAATTAATTACTATTATTTCATTAGTGAATAGTCACAGTCGTTCAGAAATGGATAAAGAGATTAATGGTTATAAAATGGACAGATGATCTCCTGTGTTGCTGCTGTAAGCGGGGTTTTGAGGCTGCCCAGGGGGTGTACACGCTTGTGCAGCATAGGGCTGCAAGGTGGTCTCAAGTCCATGGTACAAGTTCTCAACACCCAAGAAAATGCAGTTCTCGCTCACATTGTAGTTATATTTAACATTGAAATTAAAAACAGAAACCTATGGAGCAGATACTGTGACATTTCAACCCTACTCTCTCATTCCACCTTTGGAATCCTCGGCATGGCCAACTGCAGCTCTGTGCCTGGCTCTTCTGGGCCAACCAGCCTCTAGGATAGTGACTTCATCCTCACTGCAACTGAACTCGCAGATCAAGAGGCTATTCAGTCTGTTGAGCCTTTTGATGCCTTTCTGGAGCAATCTATGCACAGGATTTATACTCAGGGCTAGGAGAGAGGCAAAGTCTTGCCTAAGGAGATATGTGTGGTGGGGACTACTTGTTTGTTGAGTGGTCAGGTCCATGAGGGCAGGGATCAGATCTGACTTGTTCTTAGCACAGGCAGCACTTGCTAGTGATGCGAATGAATAAATGAATGAATGGGTGGTTTTGTGCAGAGAATCTGTTATTTCTAAAGGACTAGGAGTTTGTTTTTTAACATGAAACCACTTGATATGTAAAAATGATGTAAAGCTGATTTAAGTCATTTATGGGCTCACAAAACATAAAGCTGTGTTTTTGGCAATGCTCCCCAGTGGTTACGGACATCAGCAGCGTCGGGGAAGGGCTCTGGGCCCCACCTGAGGAACAGAGCAGATGTTGCCTGCAAGTGGTTTCCTGTTTCATGGAGCATTTCCGCCTGTAAAATGGCATCCAAAAAGGTACACCTCTTGGGGCTAGGGAGGTGGGGGTAAGATGATACTGGCCATCTTGGTAAGAAAAAAAAAAATGCACTATAAATTCAATTGGCAAAAGAGAGTGAGTTTCTTCCTAAACAGAATCTCTTCAAGTATCTACTTCCTCGGGTTCCACAGCCTTATAGGGAGGGAGGGGGCCAAAGTCTCTCACTGGGCACAGTTAGAACAAGATTTCTACTGCTCTCTACCAAATCAATCCTCCATCAATATGTCAGTTGCCAGAATGCACTTGACTGATCTTGAATGACAAAACATGTTCAACTGTCCTAGGGAGAGAAGTGAGTTGTTCTTGGGACCACAATGTTACCAGCTACCAACTCCACAGTTGTAGACACCTTTCTGTAACTTTCATTTTGGGGTGCCATGATCCATTTGCTTAAAAAAATACAGCATATGCATGCAAGAAATAATCCCTTCAATGGCTTTATAAACATTTGTGCACTCTGGACAGTACAGGAGCAAAAACTAGAAATGCTTCCCTCCAGGGGGAGGGTCCACCCATGGACTTTCCCACCTTGTGATTGGTGCCTGGCCCTCTCTGTCTCAGGCTCACAGGGTTCAAACCAACACTGGGAAGACAAGCAGCATTCAATGCCTATGTTTGGCCGAGCCCCTGCTTAGAGAGCTGAGTGTCTTCCAGCCTTATCTCCAGGACTCTTCCGGTGTGGTCAAGGCTCTTACTGCTTCTATAAGGCTTTTGCCAACAAAGTCTAAGGAGATTCTTCAAGATTCCGAGCTAAGAATGTTCTTGGGAGAGGACGTGGAAACAGACTAAATTAGTGAGAAGACTAAACATTTTGAATTGTGATTGTGCTATTTCAAATTAGGCTGAGACATTTGTGAAAGAAAAGACAAACTTATAAGGGATATAAAATTACCTGTTTTTGTGGTGCCTGAAATTCTGAGGTTTTTGGATTGGCATCTATAATACTTCCATGTGTGAAAAACCCGGACAGTTTGCAGAATGGAAAAACCCAAGGAAAATAGGTAGTTGATGTTCCACATCTTGCACTTTCATCCAAACTTACGACTTTTTAGAAGGTAACAGGTAGAATCAGATTGAATGTAAGTTAAAGTGTTAACACTGCATGGTTCTGGTCAGAGGTGTCTGGAGTGTTTGGCATTGTCATTCAGCCTCTAGATGCTGATTCGAATAGTCATCGGGAGAATGAGGGGCAACATCCGCGTGGGTGTGCAAAGCACCCAGTGTCAAGGTTTGATGGCATCAACTTTATCACCTGGAGTTTCTCTTAGCAGGAAAGTATTCTAGTCTTTGCTCAAAAGGAAGATGAATTACTAAGCACAGTAAGGCTCAACTACAAAATGAGGCCCTGGTGACAATTACTTTCCTTACCAAGTCATTCAGATTTCTAGAGAAGTTGTCATTATTTGGTCAAAATACAGTGGTGGGTCTTTTGGTCGTTTTGAAACTGACCTATTACAGTTTATTGGTGTCGATGTTGTTCTGAAGCATCCAGCCCAGAAACTCTTGAGGGTAGCTTGATGCCCGATCAGTGTGAGCTCTGAAACCATGACAGCTGCAAGGACCCAGAAATTCAGTCTCTTCTGGAAAACTGTTTAACGGTTAACTTCTCAGAGTTAGGATATCCAAATTAAAGGGGAAGCGGGAAGAGAAGATACTGTGATAAAAAGTAATTTATTATTTTGAATAAAAATGTATTTGTGCAAAATAAGTCACTTTAAAATGTGACAAAAGGTGACAGATAAGGACGTGGTTCATGTGAGGAGCTCCTAACTGAATGCAGAGGTTGGACTGTTCACTCCCCAGGGCTTTGCTCTCTTGTCACACGGTCATCAACAATTGTGCCCTTGGACTTGGAAAATGGAGAACTTGCTGGTGACTGCGTTTGGGGCCACGACTGGGGAAGCTTAAGGTCTCAGGGTCACTCAGCTTCCCTTCATGATCAGGAATCTTGGTGGGCCCCGCCCTGGCAGTGGAGGCAAAGGGGTGAGATGATGGGGGCACAGGCTTCACCCTGAGGGGAGGGAGAGGTTGGTGCCTCCTGGCTCCTGCACAGCTGATCACTATGAGCACGTCGGTTGGAGCTGCAACGTCACAACTTCCCATTCTGGCATGGTGGGAGGGGTGAGAAGAGGAGGGCCTCAGGCCCTGCTAGGAATGGGGAAGGGAGGAAGCAAGCAGGCCAACAGCCCAGTCCACAGTCCTGAAGCCAGGTCCTGTCACAGAAGGGCTGACAGCAAAGAGGCCTGGAAGGGACCCGGGGCCCCAGGAAGCAGGCCTTCCAGATGAATAGCACCCATAGGAACAGAAAACATGACACAATT